ATTAGATAGTAAGTGTGAGATTAAACATTACATGAGGAACTACCTAACTTAATTCAAACTCACCAGTTTGTCACAAAGTTTGCAAAACATTTGATCTTGTTAGAAATACACAGTAAATTTCCCATCTTAGAGTTATACCCATACAATGAGGGGACTTACTACTTGAGACTTGAAGTGAAAGGGACTGGATGTGATTACAAATTGAACTGTAATGCAAGCTGTGCTTTTTCAGTCAAGTTTTCCAGTGATGGTTGAGGTTGGCTAACAATTTCTTTCCTGTGCACTGCCCTAAGGATCTGTTCTGTTTCTCCAGGGCATCTTGGCAAGAGACTTGAAGATATTTAAAATCCCTAATTAAAGCCAGGTATTTCACTTCACTTTTATTTTTAAAATATGAAAAAAAAAATTACTGAGCTGAAGTAAAAAACAAACATTTTCCACTTGCCATTCATTACAAATGTCAGACAGCTGTAAATATAGAAATGGTCAGCTGCAGGTGTAACCTAGTTCTGTTGTGTAATGCACACTCTGTTCCTATAACATTACTAAAAATGGTCTGTCTGGCTAATAAATAGCACTACCGTTACACAGTAAAAGGTGAAAATTAATGTGAATGCTGCTGGTGAGTTAGCTATATTAACAAGCCAATTATGTAGTATTAGCAGCTATAATGGGGAACAACATAAACTTCTAAGAACCTCTGCAAAAGCTTTTAGTCCTTTCAATGCTGGGAATTTAAAATGAGTGCTGTCCATTCACTTTATTTCTTTAAATTTGGATGGAAAGGTATGTAGGAAGTTTTAAAAGAAAGTCACTGGCATCTGCATCTAAAAATATAAATTAAATAAATAAATAAATTGACTCCAACCCACTATTGTTTCAGATGCTTTTCTGGTAAAGCTCTCTTGCCTTCATCAAAGGTTCTGGCCCATGCATGATAACCTTTGATACCTAACTGATAAAGAACTGATAACCCTTTACTGATAGCAAACTCTTTTCCACACCAGAGCAAGAAGGGAGTGCAATCTGAAATGGCAGTGAGTAAAGGCAGACAATAAACAAACAAAAGGCTAATTGATTTCTTCTACTTACACATAGAGCTATGTCTGACCAACAACCCATCTGGCCCCATGTCCTCTTGCTGCTGTTGCATGGTACTTTGAGAAAAATTTAAGACCAGATCAAATAACCAACGTTTCCCCCTTGGAGCTTCTTTCCAAATTGTGTCAACATTTGAGGGAGTTTTTGAAATAGATGTATCTTGGCCTTTATGGGTAATACCCAGTAACAGATCTATCATCTCCAAATTGTCTAATCCTTCTCTGAATCCAATTTGTTCTCCAGTATCAGTGAGTACTACAATTTAATTGTGTGCTGTATGAAATGCAGTGTGCTGAGAGTTACAGGCTTTGCTGGGGGGGTTCTTAGGTCCCACTTGTATGTCCTCAAAGACTTGCTATTGTCTGCATCCTAGAATGTCTTCCTCAATATCCTGCACATCTGGGGAGAAACCACATGCAGTGTGGCCCAAGATGATAAGTAAGATGATGGGAATCTGCCTGATTAGTTACATATTTTGTGGGTTGCTTATATTTGAGTCAAATGTGTTAATTCTCCCTCTCTTTCTCCCATTCTTTTAATTTTACTCTTGGCTGCAGAAAAGTCACTAAAGAAAAATGTACCTTGAAAGGCAGCTTGTTATGCTTGGCAATGCTTTATTATGTTGCTGTGCCTCTGCATCATATTTGATCTGAACTTACTTCACAGTAGTAAGGAGATAAGTAGGAGATAAGTAGATTAAAAATAAAATTAATTGGAAATATTTCTATTTCATGTATTGGCTGTTAACACACATCAGAGGGTAAAAACTAAAAGACAAATGTCTATCAACTTAAAAAAGCAAGTCTGCTCTCAAATCTAGTGCTAGGAGTTCCTGTGGAAAACTTCCCAATGACATTCCTAACCTGCCTGAACAAGAGCATATGGAAGAACTGATAGTCATTTTATTCTGCTCCATACTTTGAAATTATTGCAGTAACATTTTTGTGCTTCCAAAATCAAGTACCTATGAATTTGTACTGCAACTGCAATTTTAATTGCAGTTTATCTGTGATTGGATGCATGTCGTGGTGAGGAGGAGGAGGAGGGAATTGAATTATTACTTATTTATAAAGTGATGTTAAATTCTGATCTCAGTCAAGTTAATGTCAAAGCTGGGAGTTCAATGGAAGCTGATTGAACCTTAAGAATGTATTGTTATTGCTTGTGACTAACAAGCAAACAGCAACTTCAAAAATTTCTTGTCTCCAGTCCTTCACAGCAGCTTTGAACTCCTCTGGTTGGGATCATTGGTGCCCTGAACTAGCCACTGTTTTCAAGTGTGGGGCCAGAAGACATGGATGCAGGTCAGGAACAGGGACCCAGCAAGGCAGTTCCCCTTTCCCCCAAGTGCATGTTCACACAGGGTTTGATCCTTACCGTCTTAAAACAAGTAGAGGAGGCAGTGGTGCCATTTTTCATGGCAGGCACAGCACTCACTAAGGAAGGCACTGTGATGCAGATCAGAATTTGTTGTCTCTGGGCTTAGCAGCTGGTTTGGGAAATGGCTGCGATTTTACAAGCCAGCTCCACTAAGCCAGACAAAACTGCACTTGGTGGTCTCTGCTTTGAGTTGCAGTTTAAAGCTATTGAATTTCCATGGTTACTTTTAGTATGCTCCCCTAGTGAAACCCATGTGAAACATTGCTGCCAGGAGGTATCACCTGGGAAAGAAAGGACAGGCTGCACAAGGAGACAGGCTTAGAAATACCCCAGAAGGGTGAGAGTCCATATGAACTAATGCTTCTTGAATTATCTTCTCTGATGCCTGAGGTGAAGTGGACATCTTTCAAGAAAGCAGACTGCAGGGAAATGCCTTGTTGATTTTGCAGTGCTAATGCTACCCTGAGTTAAAACATTTGATGATTACCCATCCCTACTCAAAACACGAGTATCTGTGAAATTTCATTGAAGAGAGTGGCACAGAGCCAAAACAGCTTTTGGCACTGTGAAAGATGAAGAGAGCATATCAAGGGTGCAGTAGTGATTCTATGCCTCCTGTTGTATTCTGGCATTTGTAGCAGTCACAGAAACAACTTACTGTTCTATTTAGGAAGGAAATAGCTATAAATCATAGCTAAGGTAGTTCATAATTCCTATAAAGTGTACTTATGAGTTATCAGTGTCCTAAACAAACTTCCACTCTAGACACTGTATGCCACAAATGGTGCTTCCAAATTCTGTGTTCAGTTGTAACTGAATTGGCAGGAAACTGCCCAGAGAAAACAACATTGTTCTATTTGTAAGGATTATAAGGTGCTTTCAGGATACTTTAAGAAAAAGCTGCTGACTGGCTCAAAAATAAACACAAGAATTGTTGTTATGTTGGAAAGATGGCTTTTGCAAAAAAAAACCCTGTTAGATAATATCTACATGACTAGTGAGCTAACCTAGTATTTTTCATTGACATGTCATCTCCACACTCTTCATCTTTTCCCTAACTTTTCACTATTTTTTCTATTCCTCCAGGAAAGAAAAAATTCCTCTAGTTTGCTACAGAGAAAAATGAGTAAGTTGAGCAAAATATCATTTTCTAAAAAACATTACTGAAAACAGAAATGGAAAATAAGAAAGTGGGAAAGAGGGCCGTTTAAAAAGTCTGAGAGACAAAACAAAAGGAATGATAGGTAAAATGAAAGGAGAGGGCATGGTGAAAGAGTTGGTACGCAGGTAAAACATAGTAGCAATAAAGAGAAGATTGTGAGAAAAGGTAGTAACAAAGAGAAAGAGATGAAAAAACAATCACAGGCAGAAATTAAAGAGAAAATAAAAGAATATAAAATGATAGCAGAATATGGAAGGAGAGCTAGACAGGAAATGGGAAAATAAGGGAAGGAAAAAAGAGAGTTGTATTTAATTAACATGAGTTGCTGCCTTCTATCAGAGCGAAGTCGATGTAGGGCAGTCAGGCCAGTTAGGCCTACAGCATGGAGATTTAGAGGGGCAATGCCTTTCCTCTGATTTTTAGAACACTCTTCAAATTTTTTTAGCCAAGGATGACCTTAATGAGGGCCAGAAGAGAATGTTTAAAACATGTAATGTGTATTGGAAGGTGAAATGAGACACTAGCAGCAGCCCCTCCTGAGGAGGTCCCATCAAGCATGGCAAGCACAGTGTGGGCACTGACATCCCTAAATCACTCTGGATTTTAACCTCTGCTTCCAGAACTTACCGTGTTTACCCTTACTGTGGTATATTTTACAGGAGGGAAAGAAAAAAGGTCAGCTGGAGTTGTTGGGCTTCTTTGTAGGGCTGCAGAGGGTTACAAACAATCCTAATACTCAATATTCTGCTGGGGAGACTCATCTCTGTGGTGACAAGGTGTGTCAGTGTGAACCAGACAGCAAGCTATCAGATGTGGCAAGCCACCAGAAAATGGACTCTTTTCCCTCCATTTAAAAGCTCATATTTTCATTACAGAAGTCTGGCATTGGGGCAGTCACTGCTTCAGTGGTGCTTCTGTTGGTAGTTTTAATAAATAATATTTTAAAATGTGAATTGCAAGTTCTTGAATGAGCGTGAGCTGGTGAGCAAATTTTGTTCTGAAATGTGTAATACTCTTGCCCTGGAATGGGGCCACCAGGAAGAAATCAGGTTTTGCTGAGCATTAGTTGCCTTTGACTTCCAAGGGGCAGTAGCCAGAAAAAGGTTAGTTTTTATGTGTTTAAATGAAAAGATCTGTTTTTATCA